ACCAAAAGTAGGTTGAGCTGCCAAATCTCCGCTCACTTAGTAATGATAAAGTTGGATTAAAAAGTAGTAGTATTGCTTGACACTTTATCCAAATAATCCACACATATTCTAGTATTTCCAAAAGCTAGAGATACAACAATGACGACATGAGAATGCACTGAAATTCAAATCGATATCAACAACATTTTGTCACTTCTTGTAGACAAAGAATGTATTCCAGAAGGAAGAACCAAGTCCAATTTCTTACTTACAAAAATTATAATTATCAATAAGCTTGATGGGAAAATATATAACCCATAACAAGTTTATCAAGTCTGTATCTGCTTTCATTTTGACATATGCTCTGTTGCACAAGTACAGTATATACTGTATGATAATCCAGACATTCAACTGTAAAAATGTATGTCCGTCAAAGTGTCAGGATTTGGCTTTTCAGACTGGGCCTAGCATCTAATATTAGGGTTGATTTGCAGGTCTTTTTTTGCTACCTGCTTGTTGCTTTGAAGAAATTGCTTCTTTACATGGAATATATGTCAATAATATAGACTTATTTTTACTGCTCTTCCTTAGGCTACTACAGCCCATTGGAGATGGAAGATTTAATGCCCTAATGTGTAAAAAAGAATAACATTTAGATGGACTTTGCGGAAAAAAAAAGTGTGAGGTGCACCTTTTGAACAATTTACCATACTCTAAGTCAATAAATACCATACTAAATTCTATGATAAATACCCCTTAACTAGTGATAGAACCAAACTGTTTTGAGAACGAGCAACTAGTTTGATGTATTTTATGTATTTTTGTGGTTGGAAAGTTAAATAACCTACAGCCATCAAACTTCTCTAATAAAGTACCACCAAATAAATTGATTATTATTATTATCATTTTTGATATAGGTCCATTTTGAAGTAGCCTCAGTTCAAGTTAAAAAAGGATTGACCCAAATGCAGAAGAATTGTGCGATAAAACGACCAACTTCCAAGAGGAGTGCACAGTCTGGTGTAGAACCCGCAGAAGACGTCTGTGTTTTATGGACGGTACAGACTGCTCTGACCTGGGTGTGAGGTGTCAGTGTCCAACGTAAGATTAACTACTGCATATGGCTTCTATAAATAGATGCCCCAAATTTACTGACAGAAAAATATCTATACGTCTCTCAAATATAGTTTAGGGTGAAAAAACAATCCACTGACAGTACATGAGTAGTGGTTCAGTCAGACGTATGAAGAGAGGTTGGCGGTAACCAGGGCAACGATGTGACCTTTGTTCAGATTTCTCCGGAGATCGAAGATTATTAGTCCAAGACAATTCATTATACACCGTTTACAGCGGTATTAAGGGCCATGGATATGAGCTAAGTTAATCTAGATAATTAATTTTCTCTGGTAGTGCGTCAGATCATATAAGTCGAGCTTTCATTTATATTAAACAAGACAGTATTGTTTTGATATTATATTTAAGATACGATTAACTCTAGAGAACTTTCATGAAGCAAATTTGTTTCATAAATACTATTTAGTTTGTCCCAATATGAAGAGTTATGTAAAAATGCAGTTTGTGAACAATCCAGACCTCATCTAGCTGATTTTCATCTGATTACAAAACCTTTTATCTTTTGCAAACTTGTAAGAAAGAGGCCTGTGAGTCATCAATCGACTAATCTAATTAATGGCTTCTATTCAATAGTTAGTTCAGCTCATAGTTAGTCACTGTTTTTTTAAAAATACAGTTACTATCTACTTTTACGTTTATTTTCTCTTTTCATTGCAAAACAGAAGCGAGAGAGCGAGAAGAGGTGTGATAAACTGAATCCACTGTGGCTACTGTTTGATCATGAGGGGCGTGGAGAAGGAGATTTGACCGTTTTTGATATACTTGATATACTTGAAAACAACAGAACATGCCCCTGACGCTGGCTGAAACACAGAATATGGGAGGAATATCACAGAGTCAGCGTTTATAATCCAGAGCGACTTTCACACAGGCCACACAGGTCAGTCCGGCTCAACTTAGGGCAAATATAGCCAGTTACTTAAAAAGGCATTGTGAAACTTATGTGGGAAAAAAGTGGATAGTTTTGCATATTTAGTAGTGACCCTGTTTGATCGGGGTTGGGGTCTGGTGCTGAAGTCCGTCAGCAGAGAAAACCTTCCAAACAACTTTTTTCCCCCCCACATAAAAAGTTGCATAATGTCTCTTTAGCTCAATTCACATCTTTTGGAAACAGGTCTGTGTGACGGCTACACCCCACAGGATGACATCATGAACCTTCTCCCTCCTGATTTGAAGAGGAGAAAGGGGCGGGCTTATGTGGGTTGGGCAGTATATACAAGTTGGGTTACATTTGGGGAGGTCAATTTGTTTGTGTTAATTCTTAATAATAATAATAATAATAATATAACATTGGTTTTATATAGCGCTTTTTTTGACACTAAAAGACGCTTTACATGTCATTATTCATTCACTCCATACACAGTGATGATAAACTACTATTGTAGCCACAGCTGCCCTGGGGCACACTGAGAGAAGTGAGACAACCAGTATGTGCCATCGGCCCCTCCGACCACCACCAACCATTCAGACACACACCGGACTCATTCTAGGCAATGGGGGTCTTGCCCAAGGACACAACAGCAGTTTGGCACTTTACAGCCGTCCGTCCCACTGTGGCATCAGGTGTTCCCAGAGGTTAAGTGTCTTGCCCAAGGACACAACGACAGCAGACAGTGGGAGTAGATGGTGAAAGTCTTTAGGTGGGCTTGAACCCACAACCTTCTGGCTCAAAGCTCAATGCTCTACCAACTGAACAACTGTCGCCCCTAATAAGTTAACATTTGCTTTCTGTAAAGTTCTATTCTTTTGACCCTTTTAATGGCCTGTTTGTGTTTATGGCCAATAAACATTTTTGGAAGATTTGAGCCTTTGTCTTTGTGCTTTACTGCTTAGCCCCTAACAGTCTGTGATGCGTTTCTCCAAGTGAACTCGACTTACTCCAGTAAAAATTAACCAGACCAAAAAGTATGGACATGTCCTTAGTCCTTTGGGTTCGTAAACGTCACGGTACCTGTCCAGAAGCACGCAGCGTAGCATGCTACTAAAACACTGAGGACTTGTGCTAACCGCTGAAATTTGAAACCAGTTTGTCAAAGTTCAAAAGTCACACCAAGGATTAGGATATTATCAGACAGTCACTAGCGCCTCCAAATATATACACAGAAGCATGTGTATTTCTGTTGGCGCAGGATTGAATTCAACCAGAGACATTGTTCTGATTTATAAGTTGAAATAGTTCTTCACACTATGAGGATGTTTACTCTACAGTACTTGATGAAAATATTGTTCTAATCTAAGAAAACAGGTAATTTTTTTAAGAAGGAGGGTTTACATTTATCCAATAACTAATAAATAGCCATATCCCTGAATCTTCTACTTCTACTACTGTGATTTCATTTTTAAAAATCCAGCTTTATTTCCCTCTCATGTGAAGTTGGTGATTAAAGGCCTGGCCAATAACCTGTACTCTTTAATGAGACTGATATAAACTGTTTTCATCCCATCTACACATTTTTTATGATTATGCTCATGATTTAAACCAGCAGTTGGTTTAAAAACTACTTGGTTTTAAATTTGGATCGGTATCAATTTGCTAACATAAGCCAAAACTCGTCACATCATTCTAAAGTCTAATTTGGGGTGCCACAAAGATTGGTACTCGGCCCAATCTTCTTCACATTTGCCTATTGGCTGCATAAAAATAAATCAAGACATTAACTTCCACTCCACACTACGTCCAAGTCAGGAAATAATGTAATCTAAATAAGTGAATATTTAGGTGCAGCTACATCATTGAATGTGATTTTTTTATGCTTAACAATTTCTTGAGTGTCCCGGTATGTTCTAAAGGCTTGTGTGGTGGATAATTTTGTTGTTAATAGTTTCAATAACTATGGTTGCATCTGAGTGGTACTCTTCCAGGTTTAGTGGTATGAATGGTGGTCTGGGCTGATGCTTAGAAAGGTGAGATCTGGCCCTCTTACTCTGACCGGATGTCTCCAGAGGGCATTTCATCTCTCCCCACATGCAGAGCCACCCAAAGCTATTTACAGTGCTGACTTATGCTACGGGTACATGCTGAAAGAAGACACTGCCACTTTGACAAGCAGAGCCGGCAGTGGGAAATACAGAGTTGTACAAAAGAGATTATAAAATGAATGGATCCGAGAAGAAACTTAATTTGCAAATACAATTGTTGAGATAGAGGAGCAGAAAATGAATACTCAATTAGTAAACCTGGTAAAAATGCAAACATTGGCAATTTGATGTTACTCTAGTAACAACCTGAAGTGGTTTCTGTGGTGAATGAAGACACAACATGCTTCTGTTGTGTTTGACTTTAGTTACTGTTAAAAGTATTAATGATGTCACTACCAACATCACAACCAACATTGAGAGAGATAACTATACTGAAAACAAAAAGACCTGCACAACGCAAGTGAATCATTTGCATTGCACAGATTCAGAAAGTTTACAAATGACAAAACAGTGGGTGTTGCGGTGGTCCTAGAAACCATGGGGAGCAATATGAGCATAACATCAGTTACTCGAACAAATGAATTACTCTAAAAGCACCTTTGTGTTTTGTATTTAAAGCTTGTTCTGCCAGTATCCAGGAAATCGCTCTCTTGTATTTTATGATAAAAGAAGTATGGGTTAGTCAAGTCAATGTCTACTCATGTAAGCATGTTTGAGGGTCTAACACGGCTAATAGAAAATATCTATTTCTATGATTACAGACTCAGCACATCATTGTCCATGTTTGTTGACAACCGTAATCCACAATTATACATCAATTCACCAAGCCATATTCAATCCTTTGGACCTCAATCACACTGCTTTATGTGAAACCACAACTGCCCGCCCTGTGTTCCCTATGACCCTTCCCCCAAATGGTCCACTCTTCCCCTTATGCTTCCTGTTGTCACCCCCTGGCGTGGACCCACCTCCAGAGCCAACTCCTCGATCTGGAACTGCTTCATGGCTGCACGGTTGCCTTGCACGTGCTTGTGGTAGTAGATCACCATCACATCATACTTCTTAATGATAGACTTGTAGTTCTTGGGCGAGAGTTCATGGACGCGGTCTTTACCATCATACTCTGGGATTTCCAAACCGGTTTCGGCCCAACTGAGGGCTCCAAGTGTCAGCAGGACCCCCGCGATCACCCAGCCCCACTTCATGGTGCTCTCTTCTCACAGCGATCAGTTGCAGTGGGGCAGAAGAGCTGTTCCTATGGACAAATGAGTGACGGGTAGGGGTACAGACTTCCTGTCCCCACTAGTGAGAGAAGAGCAGAGCGCAGACACACACCTGCTTTTAAAATGTCCCACACGTGGATCTGCTGACGTTTGGGGGGCCAACCCAGTCTGGGTAGTGGGCTCACTCAGCCAGAGGAGCAGCCAAAATAGACAGATTGGAAGACAGAGGGAGGAGTTACTACACTGTGGATCTAAACAATGTTTAGCTGCATGCCAATGAAAGTAAAAGGTCAGTTATGGTGTATTATATTTTATATAGTATACGATCTGCTCTAATCATCAATGCTTATAGATAATAATGAAAATGAAACAAAAAATGGTTCAGGTACATTTAAATGTATAGTTTGAAGAAGGCCTAAAGCACAAAATGTTGACTTCTGGAGCCAAATGTTCAATATTATCATAGCCTACAGGGTCATTTTCAGGCATTACTTGTTTGAATCCACAAATGGTGTTACAATAATAGTATGCAATGCATTTTTTTGTTATAGCATTATTTTCTAAATGATGGAATCAGCCAACATTTCTCTATTTGTCAGTGATCAAGAGGATAGCCTTTCCTCTGACAACCACCTGTTTGGTGCCCTGCTATTTATGAAAAAGGATAGTAGTTGTGTCGCAGTCACAGAAACCAGCTCAGTGTCTTCAAGGATTGCAGATAGTATAGAGACGGAGGAAATCAGAGCCCAGACATGCCATTCCCATATACAGATTTGCAGAAGAGAAGCACCCGCTAAAAATATGCCCTCCACGCGGCAACACTGGGAAAGATGGCGATCCGGGAGTCCACGCAGAGAGGGTCAAGACTGTGAGATCTGGACAGAGGGTGTGAAGGTGTGAAAGCTGGCTAATTAGCACTTGTGTGAGTGGAATTATGCAAGATTGAGTTTTAGCAATGTAAAAAAAACATTTAGCAATAGGAATGTTTTTCCCTCATCAAAAACATACCAAGAGGTCTTTTGGTCTCTTTGATCCACAATAGCACAACCATGTCCATGTGACCATCCCCCAGTGTTGAGAGGACAGTGGTGATGATCCAAAACATTTAGGGACATTTATCAACATTTATGGACATCGGTCATCCCACAAAAACAACTTTGCAACGGAAATGTATGATGTGAAATATTCAATTATGACTGACTATCACTGACTCATTATGTCTTTTACATAATATATGAGATTACCCACTTTCTTTTGCAATAACCAGTCTCATCACAACCTGCGACCTTTTTTCCTTTTCAGTATTTTAATACGACACTACTCACTTATTTATTTCCATCCGCAGTCTTTACTTGGAGGCTTGTGGGTAATATTGTAATGAGCTCTTGTTCTTGTGTGAGCTGTTGCCATGGGCGACTGCTTGAATGAGAAAGTGGCCTTTTCTTCCAAACGGCAGCTGGTTTGTGCATCTGTACATATTTCACTATGGGTTCCTCGACATGACGTCAATCCTTTTCTCTTTTAATAATGAGCAAACATGTAGCCGTCGCAGATACATGGTCTGTGAGTCTGGCTTCATGAAAGTCCTCCGCATGGAGCCTGGTGCAGGTGGGAGGTGAGAGCGATGAAATCCTACAGCTCAGATCGGCAAAGGCGCGAGGTGTAAAGGAGATCAGAGATGAGAAAGTGATGAATATACCCTTGTTCACTCCCCTAAAAAAATCAACGTAATTTTTATTTTTTAATGTTTTTATTTTGTCTGTGTAGGAGCACTAATAACACAAATAATAATTATTGTGTTATTAGGCCTTTACCAAAAGGTTGCGATGCAGTTTGATGGTAAAAGTGTCTAAAACCAAGTGATAAATGCCCCAATGACATTAACTCATTTATGGTGCTCAGAAATTACAAATACAAAACATCTGCATCATGAATAAAACCAAAGAAGATTTCTGTGTTGTTACACCGCATTAAAACTCAACTCATCGTAGCTGCAACAGTAGATTGGTTTTGTTACTTGTGAGCTACTGTGGCATCTATTGTCAGCAGTAGAAAAAAAGGCTGTACATTGACTCCTTACTATAACGCGGTTCATGATTCAGGCCTCACTGTTTTGTGGATTTTTGTATTTAGATTTTGCATGCATTTCTTACAGCGTGCTTCTCGAGTGTTGCACAAATACTTCAACAACATCACATAACCGCTAGGAACTTTATTAAAAGTCGGAATACAAATGTTGTGGCTTCAGTGCATCACCATAAGAGGACTGTGTGGTCTTCCTGTAGCACTCAGTCCAGCTCCTGCCCGTCTGTGCGGTGTCCACTGCAGCTATATTTCACAATGTATGCACGGCTTATGACAGCTGCAGCAGCGCTCAGACCTACAACGAACAAGTTTGATATCTCTTTCAGTAGGTGGATAGAAAAGTGCATAAAGTGTGTGTGGTGAGTAGTTTGCTTATAGCAGGTTATTATTAGAACTTAACAAGAAAGAGGATAACACACATCTTTTTCCTTCTAAATAATTTCAGTGGATACTTTATAGATATACATTCTTTTGTTCAATCAATCCACTCAAATTAGACATTGCATTTTTCAGATAATCTCGAAACAGGGGAAAGGGGAGAGAGAGAGTCAAGCTCAACCAGTGACATCAACTGGTAAAAATGTGTGTGACCAGCCTGACTCAGGAGCACTCACTCTGTCAGGAATTCAAGAACGGAAATGCCTCACTGTAATAGCACAAAAGTACTACATACCAAACACAGAAAGTTTTTTCACTATAAATAAAAAAGCATGAATGAGATGTATTCTGTAGAAATGATGCATTGGTGAATAGTTATGGAGTTGTTGCCCACACAGGGTTAAATTATGTCTATTATACTTAGCCATTTATGATTATCAGTTCACCCATCAAATAGAGTGATAGTTATTTCATTCCGCTCCTGTTGCTCTGACAAATGTTGTTAATAAAAGCCTACTACAGCAGGCTGTTAATTATTCAGATGATACACTTGACCTGAGTTGATAAGAGCAAATGGGAAGAACAGGCATTATCATAAATATCATCACATTTTCTGGAATTTCAATTACACTAATGTTTTTAGATGTTTGTTTCAAATGTATAGAGACAGCCATAAGATATATGTTATGGACAGACTGCAAACAAATTAATAATTAGTGATTGCCATGTTTTCTTTATCATAATGTGTCTCCAATTAAAGTTGTGCAGAATAATGATCAAACGAAGGACATGTGGTCACCTGGAAATCAAAAGATGGTGGTCTTTAAGTGGGCTTTGGGTCTCTTTGGCAAAGTGTAGTACAGGAATGCACACGCCCACCGTTGGACACACGCGCAGAGTGAACAGCTTGTCTTCAGAGATGATCTCTGTCAGACCCACGTGCTTCACCGTGATGGGAGCGGGAGGGGCGGGTTGCCAGGTCGGCTTCTTCAAAGCAACCAGGGCGCCGATCTTTTAGAAAGTTGCAAAATGTATGATACATACTTATTGTCTTAAATATTGGGACAAATCACATTCAAGCTAATAGATTGTTGTAGGTTGGTTTTAATGTGAACGAGAAACTGAAGTCTGGAAGCCATAACCGAGCCCTAAATTTCATCCCTGAACACAGAGAGTGCAGGGTCATAGCAGGGGGGGTACATTGCATTACAGTTCTCATTCCACAGCACATTCCATAAAGCTCTAGTTGTACAGTGCAACCCAATCTGGGCTCTAAAGGTTCCCTCTACAGGTGAGGCAGATATAGCTGAGATACTACATACATTAATGTATTAATCACACTCATCATAATCAATACGAGGGAACCAGTTCCATTAACACCATGTGCGGGCCATGACACCATCATGAGTGAGTTATGGTTGAGGTCATGATCAGTTCCTCCTCCTTCTCCACTTATTTTGATTATTTTCAAGTCCTGTTCACTCTGGGACAAATGCTTCCTAGATCTATTGGGAAGATGTTTTGTCCAACAAACAAGTAACCTGGCCAATCACATACTGTAGGTCACACCGAGATCTAATGATTTATGTCCGGATGTTGTGCACGGGCTTTCAGGGAAAATGTTATTCTGTCGTATGATTGTGTTCCTTGGTCCTCTAGGTATTTTGGCTTGAAACGCTTTTCATGAATTATCATTAAACATTTCTTAAAATAATGTCAACACTTTTTTACTTAAAACCTATATTTTACATAAGTGGGTTTGAGTGGGGCTGGTCTTAAGTGTACTGTGTGCAGCTCTGACTGCCACCCCAGAAATGGATTAAGGGGAAGAAATTGATGGATGGATCGATGGGTTTGAGTTCACTATGACAGCTCTGCAACCCATAGAAGAAGAGAAAAAGCCTTTGAATGCCAATCCAAACTGCTGCACGGAGACACATTTAAATATACAATGGTTGGTGGTGGTCGGGGAGGCCAATGGCACATACTGGTGTCCTCGCTTAGGTCAGTGTGCCCCAGGGCAGCTGTGGACACAGACGTTAATCACCACCATATATGGAGTGAATGAATAATAACTATAATAATAATAATAACATGTGAAGAAGAGTGTCCAAAGAAGCACTGTATGAAACCGATGCATTATTATTATTAATATTATTGTTATTATCATCAAACAAAAATAACAAACTAGATTAAGACGTAAAATAAAAATCAATAGAAATATTCATATAATAATTTATTTTATTAATCCATAGTCGTGACCATGTACTCGGAGTCTGCTTGCAGTCTTGTCAATACTAATCGGCTCCTTCGCTTGATGCTCTCCTACAATCTGGCCACCCTCAGTCTGCGTGCCGGTGCTGGGTGCTGGGTGCTCTCCGTGCTCTCTCACACACACGGCAGCATCACGACTCCGCTCATCACCGCCTCTGCCTCCGTCTCCACGCTGCACCCACCGCGCTCCACGGACAAGGCGTGACATTTTGACTTATTTTAATTTTAATTGTTTGTCGAGGAACCAGAGGCAGAGGTGACGAGGCTCGGACCGGACTCTCGGCTCTACCCTGCTCGGCTCGGCTCTGCTCGGCTCTCCTCTCCTCTCTCTGACTCATCTGGCCGCGGCTGAGGTTAGTGTTTTGCTTCTAGTCTCTGAACTTCTCCCACCAACAAAAGCCTCCGTGCTGCTCCCATTCACCGCCTTTTACATTCCAGTGCATTCCTCCACATCCAGACAGGCTTTTCCGCGTCCCATCTCTGCACAGATATAAAATCGGGCTGACGAAATCGAAATTTAAGTGGTCGCAAAAAATATTACTACTACTACTACATTTAACGCATCACAAAGGCTGTAGTTGTTTAATAAAGATAGGGTACCAAACTTTAAAACCCACCAAAAAAGTAAAACCATGTATTAAAAACCATTTTACAGTTTGGTTCCATCGCTCAAATTCTATTCAATTCAATATAATTTTTGTGTATAGTCCTAAATCACAACAGCAGTCGTCTCGGAAAAACTTTACAACATCAGATCAGAGAAGCAAACCATTGGAATACAGGAAATGCAGTAATGGCAAACACATAGGAGCCATTGTTTCATAGGGAGAGGGATGATCAATGTCCAAAAACCGTAATAAATGTCTTTAAATGTCCTGGATCATCACTGTCCTTAGACCCTCTGGCAAAAAAACCCATAAACCTTGTTCTTATATGCATTTATGTTTGGCCTCTATCTTGTAAAAGTAATCATATTTGAACTAATTTAACCACAATGCGCTGTCTTCTTTATTAGAAAACACGTTCTTTTTCGCATAATTATAAGAAGAGCCCTGTATGTCACTAATGGACGTGTTGAGCTGAGTGAGGGTGGTATTCTCTTTTCTTTTAAATTTCTGTGTGAAAATTCTGATCTAAAGATGTGACTTCAGACACCAACTTGTGATCAAACCAAACTGTTCTGAAAGCAAGGAACACGTTTGATGGATTTTTATTATATATATATATATATTTTGTGAGTTTAAAGTTAGGGACCCCAGCGCTGAGCCTTATTTCAAAGACTTTTTCACATACATAATCATTAATGCTTTTACCATTGCCTTAATTGTGCCCATTTTCTGAAGCAAAGACATAAAGTAGTACATTTAAGCGAAATATTTCCAATTGAAAGGCAATCGCAACGTTTGTCAGAAAAATTACAATTCTATATAGTACCAACTTTGTCCAGTCGTAAACCAAAGCATTCAAATATTCAATTGGAAAACTGCAGCAACTATTCTTTTATGTTTAGACTGTGCAATGGTTGATTAGGATGAGGCGCGTGAGTATGAGAATTACACTAAATGTATCTGAAAAAATCCATTATATGTTTACAGTGTATTTTGGTGCAATTACGGCTTAGCTTGTGCCTTAAAACAGTTTCTCTGCTCATGTTTAAGGTTATGAAGTGATTATTACTGTGATATTAAGTAGGGCTGCACGATATATCAGAAAAAAATATTGTTATCGCGATATTGGTGTGTGCGATATCCATATTGAAAAGATGCGCGATAAAAATAGATAAAAATAGATAAAAATAAAACAATTTTTTTATTAATTTTTTGACCGTTTATTAAAGACAACAAAACAGACACATCATTCAACAAGAAAAAATAAAAAATAAAAAAAAAAGTGTATGAATATAAGCATTTGAATGTCATTAATCTTGTGCTCATTTTTTGTTTCTTGCGTTTTAATGTAGATTGCAATTTCAGGGGAAAGACAAAAATATCGCAATTAATATTGTTATCGCGATACTAAACACTCATATCTAATATCGCTATAATTCCAAATATCGTGCAGCCCTAATATTAAGTATAGAAATAACATGGAGGAGGATCAGCGTTGGGATTGGTAAGTTTTGATGAGCTTTTTTAATTTGTAGCGCTTCCTTCATTTGAAAAGTACAAATTACAACAACTTTTGGCAATTTGTAAACGGCAGCAGTTGTAACATATCAAGCTGTTACGAATCTTGTCTCATTAACTCGAACAAAGCCTTTTTTACGGTTAACTACTTTGTTATTATTCAACTTGGGGTCCGGGGTCCATATCAGACCCTCCAAACGATCTAATCCAGCCTCAGTGTATCTTACGACACAATGTAATGTAATGTTCTTCTCCTGTTTCGTGGTTTGTCCTGGTTGAGGCTCAATCTCTTACAAATTTACGTGTTTAGAAAAATATCGCAGAGGCTTTCAACAAATCATCATGAAACTGATTGAATTTTATTTGCAACAAAAAAGATATCTGGCTGAGAGATTGTGACTCTGGGAAGATGAAGATGAATAGCCCTGGTCTGAATTACACAGCGCCTCAGTAACAGATTTAAACTTATATTTAACAATTTACTTTTTAATACAGAAATTTAAAGGCCAGTAATATTATAACTTCAAGGCAGGCTTTGAAGTTGAAAAGAATCACGCTTGTTTGTGGATAAACATTTCCCAAGAACATGATTATGGCATTGTGTAATGAGGCTATAATAAAGTTTATTTTCTTGTTCTGTGGAGCAGTGTGACAACCTCGTGGCTCCGTCGGATATTGAGAAGGGCGGGTCTTCTATGAATGAATGCTTTGGACGACAGAGAGTTGCCAAAGGGCGAATACAACAAAGATGATGTCTGTTTAAGAGCTCAAAGATGGGCATTTATTATCTATTTATATACATACTGGGGAATTTTTATGTTTGCCAAGTTACTGAAACTGAGCTTAAGATTCAGTATAATGTCCGATTACTAAAAAATGTATAAACTTTTTTAGACATTTTTAGAACCTTGGCCTGCTACATTTTGACTTTTCGATTAACACATTTGGGAATCTCCTAGGGCTGAAACAACTAATCGATTAATCGACGACTAATCGATTATTGAAATAGTCGACAACTATTTTAGTAATCGATTAATCGTTTTCTGGTTCACACGGACTCAACCAGAGCAAAAATGACATGAAAATGTAGTGTTTTTGATTAAAACCGACTTTGTTTTTATAATTTCATGAATATCTGTCTGTCTCATCCAATCAGATAGCAGAATTAGCACAAAGAGCCTGTTACAAACATTTACTTTAAGTTTACGCCATCAATACGTCCTCGAGTGTTGCCACTTTAGCTTTTTGTGATGAAATAATACATTTTTTCTACGTAATTCACAGCCAAGCGATTACTCGATTAATTGTAAAAATAATCGATAGATTAATCGATTACAAAATAATCGTTAGTTGCAGCTCTAGAATCTCCGCTTTCAATGGAACCCAGTCCTATAACCATACAGAGATCATTATTTTTTTTATTGGATCTCATTTTGTTCAATGATGAAGCTGAGGATTATTCCGAGCATCTCCATGGTAACAAACACGTAAGAGATCCCCGAAAAGTTGCACAACGTATGCTTACTCAAACCATGAGGTCCATTAACAGTTAAGGATGTGAGAAAACGGATAAATAATATGGATGGGTGGGAATTGGTGATGAGTAAAGCAAGCCAAGAATGGAAGATGATCGTACAAAAAGCCCCTTTTAAATATTATAGATGTATTTTTATTTTGTCACTGTCATGAGCCTTTATTATTAAAAATGTACTGAATTTCTCAAATGATCTGTCTAATTACTGCCTGTTATAGTATCCTTTTAAATTGACAGCAAACCCTTTTATCCACTATTATTAACCAGATCACTGTGCTTTGTGCAAGCATGTGAGCGGAGCTGGTTTTGTCATTTATTTGGACAAAGGTGCTGGCTGGAACAGGACGCTTGGCTTGACTCAGCTTTTCAGGGGCCAGTCTCCTGTGATATGGATCGCTCATTGTGTCTGGGCCAGAGGGGAGAGGGGGAGAGGGGGAGTGTGGAAGAGAGCGGGACAGAGGACAGGCCTGTACTCCTATCTGTGTTGCAATTAAAGATGGGAGGGTTTGAAATTACCACAGTATGATGAAATGACGGTTTGGGTTGTCAAGTATCAAACATCCGACATTAATCAATACTATGACAAGTATTGAAACTAAATATGGATTTTAGAAAGTATAAATACAATAATGATTTTGGCTTTTATATTGTGCTTTTTGAGAATGGGATTATTCACTCTATACAGCGGTGGTAAGATTCCACTGTAGCTGCCCTGGGATGGACCTTCGGAAACAAGGCCACGAATCTGTGCTATCAGCCCCTCTTATCACCAATCATTCACCCACCCTCCAGACTCATACTTGCCAATGTGGGCGAAGTGTCTTGCTTAAGACACACTGCTTGCAACAACAGTTAGGCACTTCACAGATGCCTGCGCCCTACTGTGGCACCTGGTGTTCCCAGAGGTCTCCCATCACAGTACTAACCAGGTCGTACCCTGCTTAGCTTCTGAGATCTGGCTTTTGCGCAGGGGACTCCCAATCAAAAGCATCTCTCAAATGCATAATTTGTAAATGATAAGAGAACAGAAACTCTTCTGAGCATTGTTTTGGTAGTACTATTAAATCTTGATGAAATCACGATAAATCATGATTTATCGTGATACTTTCTCACGTGATCGATTATCGATTTGCTTTTGTCAAGTATCGATTTAGTTTTTGTTTGTTTTGTTTTTAAAATTAGTATCAATACTTAGTATATGGCTACATTATGCATCTCCATTCCATTTATTATAAAATAAAGTGTATTTTTTCACTTCACATTTTTCTTTTATTTATACCAGTATTGGAATCCAGAGTTTAGAATTAGTTAATAACTTACACTTATTACTATTTTGTGTTTATTCAGATAGCTTTATTAAAAGATTTCTATAACAGTATATTTCTGACCAATATTTCGATAATCGGCATATCGTGATATAATCGTTATCGTGAGCTTTGTATCGCGTATCGTATCGTGAGGTATTGAGGATTTGAACATTTCCCTAAACAGTTGCATTGGTCAAAGTGCCTCATTTCCATCTACTGTATTTACAAGCGATTCTCA